TTCGGTCGAGGTTTAGGGACCGAAATACGAAAACCAACCATTCTGGGCACAATTACACCGTAATCCCGAATGAAATATTTGAGAAAGAACAGCTCACTTGCTCTAATCTACGATCTACCATAGGGCATGAGCACTGTATTTCCTTTCTTTGTTGCAGCAAAGAGAGCAACAAGAATACAAGGACGAGGAGGCCGGTAATGTTAAAGAGGGAGCTCATTGTCGCCCAACTGCTGGCCTCAAGAAACAACAAGGAGAGGAGGCTCATCATCCCATCCCCCACACTATAGTATTAAAGGGTCTACATGAAATCCTAACGAAGAAACAGCTCCCAGCTGGTGAGGAGCTAACAAAAAGAAGCTCACCCCCCTTGGCTCAGCTCAGTTCATTATATGACTATGAGTGCTACTATTTGCAAACAACCAGCTTACTGTTGATTACATCAAGGCTAAGGAAAGCAATCAGCATGGTGGCTCTCTCCACCGCCCATACATGATGGTCAGTCCTACTACCGTTGTGATTGTATCATTTGTGTATTGTTTGCATATCTATTGCATTGATTGTATTGAATCAGAATCGTTTGTATTGCCGTAAAAATTCTAACTTTGCCAACGTTGSTGTAAACTTCCTTCTTTCAAAACAACCACAGCACCAACCAATCCACCACCATGGGATACACCCTCACCCTCCGAACACTCCTTTTCCATCTGGGGAAAGCCCACGTCCTATATGGAAGTAACCTGCTGCAAGTTCATTTCTCAACTCTTCATGAGGTACCTCTGGATTGGTTGCTGGTGGTGTMTTCATGAATTTTGATAGGATCTGGTTGTGTCCAATGGCTGGTACTGCACTGGAAGTTGTGGTACAAGTTAATGAGAAGGTTCATCGTGATTCTTCTTTCTCCATGCTCCTCCAAGCACATCCTGTCTTTGATTCTTGGGAGCTRTCCCTGTATCATGTGTATTCCCCATTCTTACATCTATCTCAAGGATGCTGCATCCCTGTTGAGGAGTATCATGTGTGGTTGTTCATGGTCCCTTTGTGAGCTCTTGATGAGGCTATCTTTTACCAGTCACCAGAGGCCTGAATTACTTGCTTCAGTCCATCAGTAGCGCCCCAAACGCCTTTTTCTCCAAACCGTGGAGACTTGTCTCCAATAGCCTTAACATAACCCTCCACTTCTTAATTGGTTGGAAGACTGACCATGGCGTCTGGGTGTTTGTACTAAGGACAACACCAAGCATCGCTCTTCTTTGAAACTTGAGCCACTTGCACATCACTGTCGTGAATGTCAAGCCAAAGGCCATTGTCATTGCTGTTGCAACAAACCCTCTTGTCCCGTACCAATAGAGGACCAATGCAATAGCACAGACTGCATTGAGCTCCTCTCTYTTCTTCCCCTTGGGCTTGCCACTGGGAAAACATGGAACTTCCACAATTTCATTGTTGTTGTTGAGGGTGAACTTGTTGTACACTGGAGCAAACAGGTCAACAAACTGGTGCCTGAAGACCTTGTTGTGGTCTACACCAAAGCAGTTGAGGACATATTACTAGTCATCCCCTGAGTGGAAGAGATATAGTATGAAGGGGGAATCAGCATATCTCCTGATTGCAAGTCATAGAGTTCTCCTGTCCCTCTGACGTCTCTCTTCTGGAGATAGTTTGTTTTTGTAACTTCTTTGCTGCTCGTCTGGGTTCAACTGGAGGTATCAGTACATTGTGATGACTTCCACTACTCCCATGGTGGCTGTGTCTGTTGCCAGAGGGGAATGCTGGTCTTTTAGTGTGGCTAGGAATGGTTTGTTGTTGACTMCTAGCTAGTGCAAGGAATATACATATTTTTTGATACAAAATTATATTGATAGTATCAAAAATATGTGGTGTGTTCCTCCTACTAGAGTATCAATCCAAAATTTTGTGTTTTTCCTTGTATCAACAAGTGTATCAACAAGAAGTGGCACGCCCATTAAGTCTTTTTAGTCTTTTAATGTTGGAGTATAGTTAAGATTCCATATTCCCAAAAAAACTGGCATCGAGCCAGCATTCCTCTCAGTCTGTCTGTTGAAATTTGGATTCTCTTTAATATAGAAGTGCTAAACTCATAGATTTGGCACATTTAGTATTCTATAATAATGGGAATCACCCAATAGTAGGTGATTCCCATTATTCTAAAATCTCTAAATTTGATAGACTGACAGACCAATAATTTAGAGCATGTGACTACAGACTTATACTGAGTTGTGCTAATCTCATTAATTAATAAAATTTTATTAAATGGTTAATAAAATGTTAATAAAATTTTACAAATCCCCCTACACAAAACAAGATATAACTTTGTCCCCAACAGACACCTAACAATGATAGTAGAACTACAGTAGTAGTACATACTCTACTTACTACTAATGATAGTACTACTACTAAATCCCACTCCTATGTACTACAACAAAAGCAATGTTACTACCCTACGAGTAGAAGATAAAGTAACAAACACAAATACTTTTGTTCATTTGGAATTCCTGATGGTTGAAGTTATTCCAATGTTCTCTATGCATATTATTAGTAGCAGCATGATTGCAACTTCTGCTACTGTTCCTTGGTATCTTCCTCATAGTACTCCCTCAGCAAATCCCTGATTGACAAGTTGTTAGGATGTATTTCCTCTGCTTCTTCTTTTGTATCATATAGGCTTGGCCAAGCATTTCTGGCCGAACCATGCATATATTTTTAATGCTTTGTATATGTACATGTATATTGATAAATACCACTAGGACACCTCAATTCCCCCACATGACTAGAATTGTGTTTGAACTTGGATTTGATTCATGTGCTTACCATACGTAAGTGTCTGCTGGGGACAAAGTGATAGCAGTTAGTAATGTGAGTTGAATCTCTCTTAATGTTCATGTTTTTCTACTGTGCATTGATTATGGGCTATCTTTTTATTGTGACTCGCAGGATTGAAATTTGACTTGTACTAGGGCTACAGCATGCAAATGCAAGCAAAACTATTTGGTTGCACAACTGGTGTGATTCAAAAAAAATTCAGAATTCAGCATGTGCCTGGCTGTAAACTGCAGTACAAGCCAGTTTTTTTTGTCAAACTAGTAGTCATTTGATGCAAAATAAGGGCCCAAAATCTACAACTGGTGCGTACATTTGCTGGTCAACTCGTCTATACAATAGACAGCACAATTGCCTCTCTTCATCCTTTGTGTTTTCCACAAAATCTTTTGTCACTTTCTCTTTTAGTAGTTACTTGGTGTAGGTGAGCAATGATGTTCATACAGAAATAATTTACAGCTAGAGGACTGCAAAAAGGGTTGTGGCATCTCCAGTAATTTAAAGTCCAACACATCCCCTCTCCTGTTAGCTTTGAGTGTTTGCTAGATGTAGCTTTCCAATCCATCATCCAATACTCTGTTCATGATCAATGCAGTGCCAAGAAGAGGAGCTTGGGACCAACTCCTCATCACATGCAGCAAGGCAAGTGATAATAGCTAGTAGTGCTATCTGAGAGCCACATTGTATCAAGCAACCACCAGAAGAAAATAAAAGATACTAGCATCACCAGTTTGTGCAAAGTGATGCTGGGAAGATCCTGGACAAGTTAGATAGCTTTTCTTCCTTGTTTGGTGTAAGCAACAGCAATTATCATAATAGTTGATTCATCAACAGACAGGAGGTCAATAGTGATGTACTTCCTCTGGTCCACTAGTATAAGTGTCATTGTGACCCTGGCCCATGCTTTGGCAGGGAGAGCTCGCTTCGTGCAGAAGCCACTGGATTGTTATCAGCTACCCTTTTTGTCACTATCCTTGTCTCGCATTTTCACCAATGGTATCATGMAATGAACCCTTGCTTTCATTCCAAATA